TCAACAGGCAACTCTAAGTACTAGTGTTAAATCATATCAATTTCCGATGTGTGACATTCTAACATATATTTACCTTTTTGTAATATATTAGGGATACTCGTGCGCCAGTGTTGGAGCAGAGCCTTCAGAAATTAGGTGTAGAGAGACTTAGCAAAGATGATGTTCAGAGAATGAATTCGGAGGTTCTAGATGCCCACATCATGACGTGGATCCATTACATGCAAATATCGGTATGAAAACTCTGTTCCAAGAACCATCATTACATACGTTATTTGTTCTTTCTTGAATTGTTTGGTTGAGACAGGTCAAACTGTTATTTGCTGCGGAAAAGAAAATTTGCGACCAAATACTTGATGGTGTTGATGAGTCACTCAGAGATCAATCTTTTGCTGAAATCACTGCAAATAGTTTTGATATGCTTCTTAGTTTCGGAGATGCTTTTGCTAAAAACAAGATAACACCGCAACAACTGTTTATTCTCTTAGATATGTATGAGATAATGAAAGAGCTTCAGCCCGAGGTAACATTTACTTTCTCACACCATCACACATTGTGTCAATTATGTGTATGAATGTACTTAATTGCCTTTCATTTATATATTGAGTTGGTCTTTGGAAGCAAACCTTGTACCGCGATAAAAGAATCTGCACTGAATCTGACAAAGCGATTTGCTCAGATTGTGCAAGAAACTTTGGCTTATTTTGAAGAAGCTGTTGAATTGGCTCCTACTGAAACCGAAGTTATGGATGGAACTGTACATCAGCTTACAATCTTCGTTATAAACTACGTCAAGTTCATGCTCGAGTAAGTGTCTCTCCACATACTAAAAGGCTTGTCATCTTTTTGGATTTCACAGTGATTTTCGGAATTCGTAAACAGTTACCAATCGGTGTTGAGGCTACTTTTTCAAGAGTCTGACAGTAAAGATCCCGATTCCGAGCTGGGATCCATAACAACGAGGATCATGCGTGCTTTACAGAACAATCTGAATGGTAAATCAAAGCAGTACAAAGATGAAGCATTGACTCAACTATTCTTAATGAACAATGTTCACTACATAGTGAGATTTGTGAGAAGGTCAGAGGCAAAGGATCTGTTGGGGGAGGATTGGGTTCAAATACATCGAAGAATCGTACAACAACACGCAGAACAGTACAAGAGAGTTTCCTGGGAAAAGGTTTAATGAATCTTTTCAGCTTTATGCTCTTAAATGCCTAAAGAGTATTTTTTAGTATCCATTTCTTCTGCAGATTTTGCAGTGTCTCACGGTTCAGTCGAGCGGGAGTGGTCCGGTAGAGAACTCAAATATATCAAGAGCATCAGTAAAAGACAGATTCAAGACTTTCAATTCTCAGTTCGAAGAGCTTTACCAAAGACAATGCCAATGGACTGTTCCGGACAGCGAGTTGTGCGAATCTCTTAGGCTTGCTGTTGCAGAAGTCCTTTTACCTGTCTACAGATCGTTTCTCAAACGTTTCGGGTACATTCAATCGAAAACAATTCTAAACAGACTTGGTTAATATTAGGTTATTGTGGTTTCATGTTTATCAAGAAAGTAATAAAAATGTTGTTGCTTGCTATGTGTTATGATGTTTCAGGCCAATGACAGGGAGTGGTAAGAAGAACCCACAAAAGTACATAAGGTACAATCCTGAAGATCTTGAGCGAATGCTTAACGAATTCTTTGAAGGCAAAACTTGAAGTAAGCCCAAAAGAGAAAAATGTATTAATGTTTGTTTGTTGTTTTTCTTAAAAAGAAATATTTGTTTCCATTTTGTTGTACATTCTCTTTTGGTTTTCGCAACATTATTATTTAAAAGGTCTTCACTATATTTTTAGGGTCAATTTGCTTAATATTCATATTGAGCAAAAGAATAAAGAATATTGTTTGCAAATGGCATATAGCAGCAAGTAACTATTTCAATACGATTTAAACTAGAATACTGTGAGTACGAAAATCGGTTACAATCTTGATTCACAATAGAATGAAATTGGGATCAAAACTTTTTTGGATAAAACTCCAAGATCAAATGAAAGAATAAGCAAACCAAAATGAGGAAGAAAGTGTTGGAATTCATAGCAATTTATAACTATTTATAAATTATTAATTAAGAATTCTATTCATCAGGATTCGTGCACATATTAAATTAAATCTAAGCTATAGAGTTTGAGTATACCTGGATATTCTGCAGAGAAAAGATGAACCAAAAACGATTCGAGGTTGTTTAGCACTCCAAGTGTTGTGTCTCTACCGGTATCCACACGCACACAAANTGGATCGAGACGGGATGCTAGTACCGTAGAGATCTAATCTCAAAATAACTTGAAGAACTTTTCTTCTTTATTAGGGTTTCGTAAGTTTTTTTTTTTTTTTTNGGTGGCTTACATCAACTCACGTATATATCTCACCTTTTATAAAGAATATATATGTAACCCTAACTCACTTAGGATTTGGTCATGGGCATGACCCATTACGTGAATTTCACTTAAACCAAAAAGAATAATTAATTTCAAATCTAATTTGAAATTAATCACGCAAG